GTTGGTCAGATCCACGCAAGCATCTGACAGCCGTTGTCACGCATACGAGGAGGGGCTTTCCCACTCCTATGTAGCGTGATGCAGAGCACAGCTCTTCGAATGACCATTGGCGGTACGAATGAACAGCAGGACGTCTCCGAACAACGTGTGGTCACATCCCATAATTCAAGGAGCAGTCAAGCTATCTCCCTCACCTCTATTAGTGGTCAAATCCCATGAATCAAGGGATAGCCCATGCCATCCCTTGCCTATTAAAACCCATCTTCAGCCAGCATGAAAGGGGGATTGGCCGTTGCATATTCTGCTGGCTAATCTCCCAAAGGTTGAACCTGAACCTTTGCCAAAGGCTCCCTCATTTGAGAACCGAAGCTCCGGCTCCGGCATCAACTTCGATCGGATCGTCCAAGGGAAGCAGACTCGGCACGAGCACCGAGCGAGGCATCCTATCGCCACCTAAAGTCCCCACACAAAACAAAGAGGGCCTTCCCTCTGCTTCTGTTGTAAACATTTGATTTGTTAGTTTGTAATAAGCTTTCTTATAAATACAAACGAAACTCCTTTCTTCGGAAGAATTAAATTTTCACCCTACATTGACCAATCGAGTATTTCTTGCCAACGACTAGTTTTTGATGAGCTGAGTTTTTGGGGCTATAAATATCCCTCCTTCTTTGGTTTTTCTCAAGAGTTTTACAAGTGTTTTTGGGCTGTTTATTTTAAGTTTTAAAAGATCAAAAATTTGTTTATGTGAAGAGGTTCTCACAAGAGAATGGTTTCAATTTCAAGCTTGAGGCTTTCATCCTCAACACTTACATCTCTTGTTCTTGGAGAAGTTTTCTTAACTCATCTTCTAGCTATTTATCATTTTGTTTTTTTATATATTTATGCTAGATTGATTTGAGTTAAAATTTATTTTTTATTGTTTACACACACAACATTTGAGCTTAAGAATTTTACATATAGTATTTGGGTTGTGAGAGTGTTACATTGAGAGTGAGCTTACACTTAGTTCTCATCTTGTTTAGAGCACAAATCTTTTACTTGTGCTTAATTGTTGGGAGAACACATTATAATATACAATGACACTTAGAGAAGTGGTTGGTGAGAAACATGATCAATTCCAAGAGGAATGACGTTGTTTGTAAATCCTAGGGGAGGTAATAATTCCGAGCATTTGAGGAATGTGACACGGACTAGGCCAACACTTAGAGGAATGCATTGTGTATTGACAATTGTCTGAGTTGTAAACGTTTATTGGTGAGCGTTAAAAACCGATTGTGTAGTATTTTTGAGATACTAGTGGAGATTCTCCTCGAGGGTGAGGAGCGGAGACGTAGGCCGTGGGTCGACCGAACTCCGTGATCATTTGCCTTGTGTTTACGTTTGCCATTTGTGCGATAAAATTACGTAATGCACTCTTATACAGCTCTGCTCGTATACAGCTAATTAGTACACTGAATCCAGATACATTAACAAAGCAACAACATTCAGTTCATGAAAGAAGCATCATGATTCCATTTTCACCCCCACTTCCACACATTTTCCACCTTTTCCTACAAAAGAATAAAGGGCAAAAGGAAAAAAGGGGGAAAAAAGTACTAGTAAATGAAAACACTTTTAATTTCTTGTTCCCTTATCAACATTATAATATCTCCCTAATCCTTCATATTACAAAAATTGCGTAGTGTACTAATACTTGCCAATAGTTTGACGCTTAATTTGAGGATGCGAATCTGTTACAAGAGAATCATCAACAAGAGAGGAGACAAGGATCCAGCCAAAGAAGAGAAGGCTGCTACCAACCGAGATGAAGCAGAGAGATTAGGGCTATAATAGTAATAAGGATAATACGGCATTAT